TTTTTTTTTTTGCCACATACAGGACTTCTTGGGACAGGCTTTCTGTACGTTGGGTGAAATTGTTGGCTCCCTGGGAAGCCGCTTGGAAAAGCCATTGATGTAAGTAAAACATCAAATGTGTGGAGAAATACAAACATATCTGCTGTAAACAAAAAGGAAGTTCTTGAAGTATTTTAAATAATAGCTCCAGTGGGGCCTAATGGTATGTATTCTGTTCATCGTAGGTTCACTTCAACTATGAAAGACAAAATGATAAAAAACAAAAAACAAAAAAACAACAGGAAATCACATTTTTAAATAATTTATTTGTTAATTTGGCTGGAAAATAAGTTTTTTTTTTTCACCCACAAACAACCCTGTAATTTTGTCACTTCTTCATGTATGAAGCATTGTACAGTAGAAGCCATTCAAAATTTGCCAAGTTTCCTTGATGGACACTTGGCTGGTCCTTGGCTAGTCCCTGGCTTGTCCTTGGCTGGTCCTTGGCTGATCATTGGCTGGTCCTTGGCTGGTCCTTGTGGAATGTTTGGCTTTGTTTGAACTCATCAAATTAGTTTCCCCACTAACATTTTTATTATGGTTATATGAGCAAAATGGACAACGAGATGAAGAGATGGAAGACATGGTCTGGAGATGTACACTAAACGTGTGAGTGTGTATTAAAAGTGGTGTTGCACAGATACTGTTACCAGTATCAGGCGAGGCCCCAATCCAGCACTAAAATGGTGGTATCGGTATCGGTGAGTACCAACAAATAGGGCACCAATACCATTTTGAGAGCCAAAAGTTTATTAAAATATTATCACCCATTCAAGGTAGGCAATAAAAAGTTCTACTGGATTCACTTAATATTAGTCTTTTTTTCTGCTTCACAAAGGTAGGCAGCAGCTTGACAAAGCCATGATGGCAATTATTTTACATCCAAGTAGTATGCAAAAACCCTTATGAAGAGGACTAAAGCAAGGCACGTGACGTCGCCCGGTACAGCGGAGCCGGGACCCCACCCTGGAGCCAGGCCTGGGGTTGGGGTTCGTCGGCGAGCACCTGCTGGTCGGGTTCTTCCACGCGGGACCCGGCCGGGCCCAGCCCGAAGGAGCGACGCGAGGCCATCGCCCAGTGGGCCCACCACCTGCAGGAGGAACCATGAGGGACCGGTGCATAGAGTATGGGTGGTAGCCAGCAGTGGCGGCCGGCCCATAGGGGGCGCTGGGGCACCGCCCTCCCTGATAAGAAGAGAGAAACGTAAAATATATTTTTAGAAAATAACTCATAAATGTCAGTTTTACTCTCTAGACTGTGTACCTATAAGCAAAACAAATTATATAAACTACATTTCCCTATCTACTGTGATTAATTTGTGGATTTCCACAGACAGACTCCTACCGTCTCTGTTCTGGGGGCGCTGATCAGACAGACCCACATTTGCACAGAATCTGTCAATCATGTACTATTGCTAGGTGAATTTAATGGCCAATCAGCGTCTCGGAACTTTATGGTCTTGGGGCGCTGAAAATACTGCGCTTTAACAGGCTTCTGAACCCAAGCGCAGGTGCAGACAATTAGAGGGAAGATGGCGAATGTAACGAACGAGATGCAGCTTCCACCAAATTCGGTGAGATCCTTATTTATCTACCCGTTTGCCAGAAGAACATCCCTGTTGTAGGATATGAACATTTCATGTCATGGTTATTGTGACTGTGACAAATCCACCTCGTCGCTTAAACAACCTCTCTAACTTTGCGCGCCACACACACATTCCTGTTATACTGTGTTTGTGAGGACCAATACACTCGCGCTGAGCCCAGTAGCTCCATGAACTTAAAACACACAAGCTGTTCCTGGTTACCTGCTGGCGTATTGAGGGTGCACACTTAATATTTCAGTGGGGTTAGCCGTGTGTGTGTGGGTATGTGGGGGGTGTGTACGTGTTTATGCTACGGGGACTTGTCATCTTCAGTCTGGCTGCGTCTTTGCTGGGTTCAAACCCAGTTTGGTGTAATTGAATAAGTCAATGAATCTGTGTAAAAGAATTAAGTTGTAAAACTTATTTGTTTTTGTACATCAATTGTTTGTGGAGGTAATATATGGACAAAACTGATTAATGAGAAGAAATCAGAAATAAGAGAGCCTGAGGTGAGGGGCTTAAACTATTTAATGAGGGCTGTGGGAAGAAAAGAGGCCATTTTTGTTTTCTGTTTCTTTGTTACATTGCTGGTAACTGGAGGGAGGCTGAGGCCCAGAGTATCTTTTACATGTTTAGTTTCTTTTGCACCCTGTTTTGAGTTTTTGAGCACAATAAATCACCAACACCGGTAACCTGACTGAGCCTGGATTCTTGGAGGCCAAAGAACCCCGTCACAGTGACCAAAATCATCACTGTTACTGTTATTATATAGTAAATTAAATCATTACTGTTAAATTGTATGTATTGTCCAATTGTTTAATTGAATTCTTATTCCGGATTAGTTGGAGACATACACTAGGCTATATCAGCCCCACCAAAAATATTTTTCACCAGCCGCCACTGGTAGCCAGAGGCGGAGACCTCGGCAAACTGATCCGCGAGCTCTTAAACTGGCTCTGGGGACGTGGAATGTCACCTCACTGGCGGGGAAGGAGCCCAAGCTTGTGCGGGAGGTGGAGCAATACCGGCTACAAATAGTTGGGCTCGCCTCTACGCACAGCCAGGGCTCTGGAACCCAGCTCCTAGAGAAAGTCTGGACTCTCTTCTACTCTAGAGTGACCCGCGGAGGGCGGGGGTGGGGCTGCTTGTCTCCCCCCAGCTCAGCTGTCTTGTCTGGGAGTTCTGCCCGGTAGACGAGAGGGTCGCATCCTTTCGCCTTCGGGTTGAAGGGAGGACTCTGACAGTTGTTTCGGCCTATGGGCCGAACAGCAGTACAGTGTACCAGGCCTTCTTAGCATCCTTGGGGAGGGTGTTAGAAAGCACTCCTCCCGGGGATTCCATCATTCTGCTGAGAGACTTCAAAGCCCACATGGGAAACGACAGTGACACCTGGAGGGGCGTGATCGGGAGGAACGGACCCCCAGCTCTGAACCCGAGTGGTGTCTCATTATTGGACTTCTGTGCAAGTCATGGATTGTCTATAATGAACACCATGTTCAGGCATTAGGATGTCCATCGGTGCACCTGGCACCAGGACACCCTAGGCCGAAGGTCGATGATCGACTTTGTACTCGTATCTTCTAATCTTCGGCCGCATGTCTTGGACACTCGGGTGAAGAGAGGGGCGGAGCTTTCCACCGACCACCACCTGGTGGTGAGCTGGATACGCTGGAAGAGGAGGAAGGCTGAAAGATTTGGCAGGCCCAAATGTGTAGTGAGGGTCTGCTGGGAATGTCTGGTGGAACCCTTGGTCAGGGACGTGTTCAAATTCCACCCCCGGGAGAGCTTCTCTCAGGTTCCGAGGGAGGTTGGAGACATGGAGTCCGAATTGGCTGTGTTCTCTGCCTCTATTATTGATGTGGCTGCCCGTAGCTGTGGCCGTAAGGTTTGCGGTGCCTGTCGTGGTGGCAATCCCCGTACCCGGTGGTGGACACCGATAGTAAGGGATGTCAAGCTGAAGAAGGAGTCCTATCAAGCTTCGCTGGCTTGTGGGACTCCGGAAGCAGTAAGCAGGTACCGTGAGGCCAAGCGTGTGGTGGCCCGGGCGGTTGGCCTCAAAGCGATTCTGGCAAACCGTCCGGCGCCTCCGAAGGGGAAAGCAGTGCTTCGTTAACACTGTTTTCAGTGGGAGTGAGGAGCTGCTGACCTTGAAGGAGGATATTGTCGGGCGGTGGAAGGAATACTTTGAGGATCTCCTCAACCCAACAGACGCGCCTTCCGTGGGGGAAGAAGAGACAGGGTGCTTGGGGCTGGATTCGTTGATCACCCAGGCTGAAGTCACTGAGGTAGTCAAAAAACTCCACTGTGGCAAGGCTTTGGGCCCTGGATGTTGTCGGGCTGTCATGGTTGACACGTGTTTTCAACATCGCGTGGAGGTCGGGGACAGTTCCCCTGGATTGGCAGGCTGGGGTGGTGGTTCCCCTCTATAAGAAGGGGGATCGGAGGGTGTGTTCCAACTATCGGGGAATCACACTTCTCAGCGTCCCCGGATAGGCCTATGCCAGGGTGCTGAAGAGGAGAGTCCGGCTGATTGTCGAACCTCGGCTGCAGGAGGAGCAGTGTGGTTTTCGTCCTGGCTGTGGATCAGTGGACCAGCTCTACACCCTCTGCAGGGTGCCTGAGGGTTCTTGGGAGTTTGCCCAACCAGTCCACATGTGTTTTGTGGACTTGGAGAAGGCATTGGACCATGTCCCTCGTGCTGCCCTGTGCGGGGTGCTCAGTGTAGAGCCAGTTCTCCTCCACATCGAGAGGAGTCAGTTGAGGTGGCTCGGACATCTTCTTCGGATGCCCCCTGGACGCCTCCCTCAGGAGGTGTTCCAGGCACGTCCCACTGGGAGGAGGCCCAGGGGACGACCCAGGACACGCTGGAGCGACTATGTCTCTTGGCTGGCCTGGGAGCGCCTAGGGCTTCCCCCAACAGAGCTGGAGGAGGTGTCTGTGGAGAGGGAAGTCTGGGAGTCTCTGCTTACTCTGCTGCCCCCGCGACCCATTTCCAGATAAAGCGGGAGACGACGAGTATGAGTACGAGTACGAGTAGTATGCAGTTCTTTATATCTACACACACATCAATTTCAAACAGATGGTGTCGTCATTGGTCAATACTGCACAGCCAGGTATTGGTATTGGAGCCAAAAAACTTCAATAGCAGAATGTTGATGGCCGCTAAGAATTTAGATCATAGGTTGTACCTCTTGCCTCCATCAGTAGTTTTCATTGACTGCTTTTACTAGACATGCTTTTCAAAACTTTTTTGGATCACATAATTATATTTTTACAGATGTAAAAAATGTGACATGCTTGACAACCTTTGTACCTTGATCAACATATATAGCACGGTTAAATAATAGGAAAACTGATATTAGATTACTAGGCCATATGCCTTGTTGGTAGTGATGAGAACAACAGTTCTTTTGAGTGAACAGAATCACTAGAATCAGCATTTTGAAAGGATAAATTCACTCAATCAGATATACAT